TAACAGCGAAGAAGGCAATCTTGTGTTTTTTTTATACTATTAAACCGTAGCAAAACTGTGAATACCTAAACGACAAGCTTGCACATTTTGTGTGTTGCTACTTTCTACTGTATTTTTTTATGAAAAAACTAAAAAATGAGCAGTATCCGTAAAAGTAGGTGGCGTTTTATAGCGTTAAATAAAATAAAAATAATGTGGCCCGAAACGTCGCGGTCACGAATTTTTTTAACAAACGTTTAGAGAACACTAGACTTGTCCAGTTATATACAGGGTGTTCCTTAACTGTTATTCATACGTAAAGTACATATATATACTTTTTGAGAATATTGAGTTGCAACAATCGTCGTCATCAACTAATACTTACTGCTAACTGAAAGATTCTTGACCATTACACTACCAAACGTGGATCACTATTTCCGTTATATTTGCTCTCATCAGCACGTAATATGCAGTCTTAATAAATCTCTGACCAAATCGAGATTATCTGTGACGTAGTAACCTCGAATCTCTATGTCATGCACTATGGTGATTGCATGTCGTTATTTGTATTGGTGTGGGAGGTATGGTAGTTAAAAATGGTTTTAAAGTATGTTTGAAATCTCAAATAATTTTCAAAAGGTGTGTGTGAGGATTTGCAGCCAACCCACCACCATAATGGTACCATAATGCTCTTGAAAATTTTTAGTGTTGTCCTCAGATAGAATGTTCTTAAAAATCTACAATTGTCCTCAGGCAGATATTTCTATAAAGTGAAGTAGATCGGAAAAATAGAGAATGTTTTGAAATGTTCGGGGGCCATCATGTTTGAGTGTGGCAGCTGGGTATTCCCACTAAATAAGGGTTTTGGTGCCGGTGAGTGCTCTACTGTTGGAAATGCTCTACGGGAAACATTTAGATTATTATATACATGGTACGCTACCGTAGGAAATACACTACGGGGTACATATTAAGTTTAATTATCTTATTAACAATAATGAACTATAGTAATTACGTACAATAATGAGCTACCTTGTTTGCAAGATTTAAAAGATAATTGTTTGGTATAAGCAAAAGAGTTTACAAAACTGTCTTCGTACTTATTCGATTGTTTTCTACTGAGCAATAGTAAGCGGCTGAAGAATTGCAACGTTATCATCTTCTACATTCGGATGGTACCTACAGCAGAATCATGTTCAAAATGTGGTAGCGAGATTCAGAAATTCGACGTCCAAGAAAAGGATGCCAAACTGTCAAATCAAGTTTTATTACTACATATATATATACATCATCATCATAAGATCGTCAGTCCTAAGACTAGTTGGACACGTACCTCCATTCTTTCCTATCCTGAGCTAAACTTCGCATTTCCCTAAAACTAGAACAACCTACCTACTTAACTATTTGCGAACAGTAATCTAACGTAAGTCTACCTCTACCCCTTCTAACTCCTGCTTCTGCCTCTAATATGTCTCTGACTAGACCTTCATGCCTCAGAAGATGTCCTACCAACCTATCTCGCCTATTTTTTATTGACTTCCATAGAGTCCTCTGTTCTCCTATTCTTTCCATCCACGTATCCTCATCATTCGCCTATAACACCACATTTCGAACGCTTCTAACCTTTTTTTTCCGCCGCCCCCACTGTCCATGTTTCGCACCCGTACAACGCCGCGCTCCAAACGTACACCTTTAATATATATATATATATATACACCAGAAGTTAAATGGTAATTTACATTTGTTCGATATTTTGGAAATTGTGTTCCTGTTTTTTTTTTGGATTCGTATTTGTCCATCAGGGCTTTTTTCATATATTTCAGCCAAAAGGTCCTAAAAAATGTTTGGAATCTCCGGTATTACTGTACGTTTGCTGATACAATAGCAACAATAATAAGATTCCTTTGTTTTGTCGGGAAGTATCAGACCAACATTACTGATAGACTATATTACAGAACTACTGAAATTGTACTAATAGTCTACCCCTTTCCTTTACAGAAATTCAAAAAAGATGGGGCACACTTCGCTTATTCTTAATTTATCGTCTTAAGAGAAAGTTTTTTACATGAAATGTTTGATTAACTATTTAGAAAATCTGCTCTGACAATAAACACGACTATAATACCTAAGTTGTACGTACAAACAGACACTGAGATATTTTCTTTAAACCAGTTTTAATGTAAACTAAGTTGATATGAATGTGTAAAAAAGTAATGTACGAAAAGTAGTTTATGAATTTAAAGAAAAACATTAACATATATAAAAAAAACTGTTACACCATAGTTCATGTTCTAATTGTGAAATATTACTGGTATTTTATAGCAAATTATTATGTAATTTTTTGGCCCCCTCCCTCCATTGCTTCTTTTACTTCCATACTACTTCTCAATCGTTTCTCATTTCACATAATTTTATGTATAAGTACCTTTAAGAATTACCTGGAATGAACCTCATTTATGACCTTAACATATTTTATTATTTTCTCTAACATTAAATTTAAACTTTTTTTTTTTGGTCATTTCTAAAAATTTTGGCTGATATGGAAGAAATTCATTCAAAATCTTTTCAAGAGTGGTTTGTGAGAACACAAATATTTAGTACTTATACACTAATCATAATCTTAAGATCGTCGGTCCTAAGACTGGTTGGACACGCACCTCTACTCTTTCCTGTCCTAAGCTAATCTTCGCATATCCCTAAAACTACAACAACCCATATGCTTAAATATTCGTGAACAGTAATCTAATCTAGGTCTACCTCTACTCCACTTAACTCCTGTTTCTGCCTAAATATGTCTTTGAATAGACCTTCATGCCTGAGAAGGTGTCCTACCGACCTACCTCGTCTATTTCTTATTGAATTATTTGGAGTCCTCTGTTCTCCTGTTCTTTCTAATACCCCTTCAATTTTAACACCACATTTCGAACGCTTCTAACCTTTTCTTAATACTAATTTTTAATTAATTTAAGAATCTTCAATGATGCACATTTAATTGCTGTAAACATGGTCAAAATGTTGTCTTTTCGAAGGCATTGGTAAACCATTTAACGGAACTGACTATGGCGATCTGATGGGAACTAATTGTGATAGTTTCCAGAAAGTAGTGACCAAGAATTTAATGCTCTTTATTCTTAAACAATGTTACCAATGAGTACCAGAAGCAAGCGGTTGAATGTATAAAGATTTAAGCGTCATTGCAAAGCTTACTTATATTACATTAATTATTTCTTTGAGAGAATGTGTAAAAGTTAAGGACAAAATTTCGGTCTTGCAAAAGGAAGAAAAGAAAACCACAAGGGAGAGATGGAAAAAAGAAAGAAAGAATTTTTTAATGGAGAGAGGATGGTCAATCAAACATTACATATGGAAGCTGGAAAATGAGAGAAATGTATGGAAGGAATTAGAAAACTTAACCAAAGATATTGATAAACAAAGAAGGAGAGAGAAAATGAGAAACATGAAATTCGTTCAAGAGTACAAGATATTATGGAAAGAAGGAGAAGAAAAACCTCATTATTTGAAAGATGAAGGAGTAAAGAGAAAAAACCACCTACAATTAACTGCAAGATTCAGATTGGGAAGCGAAAATAGAGCGTCAAGGTATTGGGAGGAAGAAGAAAAGAAATTATGCAGATTATGTAAAAAGGAGCTAGAGACGCTTGAACATATTTTTGAGCGATGTGGGGAAACGGGAAGTTCTGCAAAAAGCTGGAAAGCTCAACTGGAAGGAGTGAACAACATGAAAAGGATGAGAGAAATCTTGTGGAAGAGAAAAATAGCAGGAGAAGAAAATTAATAAAAATTGTACTTTGTATGTATTGGAGGAAATGGGAAAATTCAAATGGAAAGAAAGGATGGTCTAAATAAGATGAGAAAAATATGAATAAGGAGGAAAATAGCAAAAAAACGAGAAAGTACAAAAGAGAAAATAAGTAAATGTAAATATAACTGCACCTTGTATATATAAAACATAATGTTTTTAATAAAGCTATCTATCTATATATCTATCATTAATTATTTAGCTAACCCGGTCAGATTTAGCTAAGAAACTGTACATTGGGCGACTAAATTCGCATAAATTTCATCAGGACGATTGTCACAATACGAATTTTCAAAATTGCAAATATGCATCTTTTATTGGTAGATATGTTACCAGAAATGTATGAAATGTAGGAATTGTATACAATACAATTTCGAGGCTATTTAGGAAATCTATAAAATATTGTTTCAATGATATTTTAATAGACACATATACTGGGAAATGTATACATTTCCTAGGAATTGTATGAAATTCCAATATTGTACTAGGAAATGTATAAAACTAATGCTTTTATGTATGTATGTGTAGATTTCCTAGGAAATGTGCCTAATATAATCTATTTCATACTTTTCCGGGCGATTTTATTAATCATATACATTTCCTAGGAATTGTATTACATTCATTTGCGTTAACAGATACATTTTCTGTATCGTGTTTTCCGTGAAGCTTACCATCTTGAGTAAACCAATACATAGGATTACGAAAGCACGTTTGGTGTGAAAATTTTATTTTACAAATTGCATTCCAGATTAAACGCTGATGTTATTCGCCGGTGAAATTATCACCGCCTCCGCATATTACTGCTTACCTACATGTAAGTATTTTAAAAAATTGAAAACCCATTTCATTGGAGCGCCGTTATGGTTGCACGACTTCGGTGCACCTACATACACAATTACTTATTACATGTACTTATCATATGCCTATACATTACTATTTATGTATCAATGTATCTAGTATCTCGCGTATATGCGGAAACCCTGCTAACCGTATATTTCATCACTATAACTCCGGCCGCGTCACATCTCTGGGATTGTATTACCCAAGTTCAACAGCACACACCCTCCACTTCTTAGTCGTGTGCTATAATTACATGCACGAGATACTGTTACGCTTCAACAAGGCCTGCTTTGGAAGGGACATTTACTCTCTTCACTATAAAAAGAGATCAAAGTCTCTATTCTGCATATTATTCCGGCGATAATCCATCTAAACAACACAGACCTACTTTGCAAAAACAGAAGACATGTTCAAATTGGTGGTGTTGTCCGTTCTTGTGTCAGTTGTGGTAGCCAAGCCAGCTCCAGGACTTCTCCATGGTGGTCTTGCTCTTGGACCAGCGCTCGCATATGGAACCGCTGTCGTTGGAAGTATACCCACTGCAGTGAGCCACAGTAGCAGTTCTGTCATTCATAGTGCAGCCTTAACAGCACCGGTGGCCATAGCTGCCCCTGCGATCGCAGCCCCATTGGCTCTCCACGCCGGTCCAGCTCTAGTCGCCTCCCCAGGTCTGGCATACGGTGCGCATGGTCTTGGACTTGGAGGACATGGACTCGGGGGACTTGGACTTGGAGGTCTGGGAGCACTTGGACATTTGGGACTTGGTTTGAAGTTGCATTAAGTTTCCACTGCGTATGTGCAATGTTTAAGTGAATCTAGGAAGATTTGTCGATAAACTGATTCGGACTGTTTTTATAATTGTATTTTTTCAAAACATAATGTACATATGAGCAGAATAAATTTTCTTTTTTATAAAAAATTACCTATGACTTTTTCGAAAAGTGTTTTCACTTTTAATTAACAAACCAACCGAATTTATTGATAATTATGTGATAGACCAGAGCCGAGCAAACCTTAACTTCGGAGGAACCGCTACCTGAGGTTAGTTTGAGTTACTCCATACCCTTCAATGAGTACGAGAGAGTAAGCAGTAATGACCCATATTGCTTTCTCTTTTTCTTCTCCCTTCCACTCTCATGTCAAGCCCCTTCATCCCGTAGACGAGCGAAGTCTCTCTCGCAACTTAAGTACGAAAATTTTCGTTACTACATTCGCAATACTATTGGGTTTGGCTATGGAAGAGGGGACTCACCTAAGAAATGGAAAGGATAAGAAAAGGAAAGAAGCATCTCGCACTCGCAGGATCAATGAGGAGCCCCTTGACTATACCTGAGGATCACTCGGGAGTCAAAAGAGCCGAGTTTGCCCAGCTCTGTCAGATAGACAGTACTGAAATTGTTGTCGCGCGATGATTATTCTTTATCTACAGTATAACATCTAAAAGGCGAAAGCATGCAAAATAGGGTACTATGTTGCAGCCCTGTATATTACGTTATTTTTTATCTACCTTGATGAGAGAGGTTCTATGAGGGGTTCTAAAAATCGTTGACATTTTGCTATCTGTTTAAAACAACCTTATAATTTATTTATTTATTTATTTNTCCCATGAAAAGTCGTTTCTATTGGGTGGTGGGATTACAAGATGGGGTTGGAATACTAAAGAGTTCGTGCTCGAGCCCATTAGTACCTTGCTACGCCACTGACAGTGAGGGCTAATTAGAGACATTTTAGAAACAGAAATAGGAATTAAGAGGGGTAAAGGTAGACCTAGATTAGATCGAAATGACTATTTCAAAGTTTTAGAAAATCAGTCGACACTCTACAAACAGACACGTGTATCAAAAGTCCTTATCTTAACACAGTTAGATCCTGCACACGTATTGAAATATTATATTTATCGCAATTTTATGTGAGTAAAGTAACAGGATACAGATTCCTTAGGGGTCGTCCATAAAATACGTCACATTTCCCTTTTTGGACCCTTTCCTCCACCTTTAACGGAGGAAATGAAAAAGGAAAATTTACTTAAATATTAAAGCGATGTTTACAATTTATCTCACTATCCCATTGCATCGTAAGCGAAAATAATAAAAATGACAAGTTAGACCCGAATTTGTAAAAATAAAATACCAGCAGAAATAAATTTACTAGGTATTTTAGTTGATATTACAAATTTAATTGTAATAATTAAGAAACTTGAAATAATTTTTTATAAAACATGTCAAAATTGAGATTATTACAAGTTACCTAATAAAAATTCAGTTTTCTCCGTGTAGCAATTATTCTTCTTATCTCTGGAGGGGTTATTTAATATTTTCTTAGTAAGATACTCGCAAACAAAACGGCGATAGAAAATCATAACGCTAAATCAGGGGAGCAAGACTAAGCCGATAGTCACTTGAGAAAAGGTTACGAATCCGGGAGGGTTGAATTGAGGCCCGTCGTTTTCCCTAATTTTCTGTCGATGTAGTAACACATCAGAGATTTTATCCTGATTGTGATGATATCTAATTCGATCATGGTGTTTTTGGTCTTTTTGTTTTTACAAACGCGTTGTATCCCTAAAATTTTCTTGAAACACAAAGCCACTTTTCTACACCACTACTTAACTGATTTTGAAAATTAAACTTATAACCGTCCAACACTTATATTACTTTACCGCGTTCACTTTTCATAAACTGCGCAGTTACGACATCTTAAAGCATCTAGTTTTGACAATTATAATAAATAATACACATAATTATATTTAATATTACATTATTTTAGAAATACATCTATAATTAAAATTGGCTCTCATTAACAACCCCATTAAGTGAGAGCGGAATCCAATTCATTCGCTCTTCCAGGGAACTAAATTCCTTCTCCGATTTATTCACCTGTTACATTCGGGTCCCAATTCGACCCCGTCCCGGACCGCAGTACTTCCAAACATAATACCTTGGAGAAACATATTTTTTTTTCTAAGTAATTAGAAACCTAAACTTGAAAATGCCTCATATTGAATGCGAAACGTAGGTTGTCGGTTTCACATAAATAAAAAGCATTTGCCTCATACATAGCTTGGTTTTTTACTTTATTAGATATTTTTGTATTTTCTTCTGTATGTGGTAATCTCAATACATCGAGAAAAAAATGTTCAGTCTCTCAGAGTCTCTGAAAGCGAGACTCGAGTTTCCGTCTCTTATCGAGTCTCTCTGGTGACGCTGAGAGACTGTCGAGAAACTGTCAAAAAAACTGTTTAGCGTCTTTAAACGAGAGACTCGAGTCGCTCATAGAGAGATCCTCATTTCGTATCCAGTCTCTAAACGAGCTGTCTCGATAAACATGGTTAAAATTTTCAAAGTTCAACATGTTTGAGAGATTCCAGTCTTTCTATGAGAGACTCGAGTCACTCAATTTTTCAGTTTTATTGATTCAGTGGCTCTGTGAGAGACTCGAATCTCTGAAGCAACAATTTTATCGTTCGAGTCTCTCATACAGAGACTGTGAGAGATCCATAAAAACACCTACGCAAAAACTGAGAGACTGTGAGAGAAAAATTTTGTTTAGGGACGCTTAAAACTCTTTCGTAACGCGCGAGGTCTGTGAATTTTGCCTTCGTATTATTGTTTGCGTCGTATTGTTAATATAAATATATTGTATTGTCAATTGTATCACTTTTTTGTAAATAAATAAAAAAAGGTTTGATTCCAGGCCAAAGCAATGCCATTTTTTACTTAAGTTTAAGTAATAATAATTGACACAATTGTCCGAATTTCAACCGCCGGCGAAAGCACTAAGAAAAGCACTTTTTTCGGTGATACTTGCAATCAATTTGTTTTTGAATGTACCGTGATTGTTTTGTAAAAAAACTCTTTCGCTTATGTATGTGAATTAAGTCAATTAGGACAATCATCGGTATATTTTCGTGCTAGGTGCATATAATGATCTGGGGTATTTAGTTTTTTTTTTTATTACATAACTAAAAGCTGTCGCCCTAATTTTTTTGGTAGTAATGTAATAAAAAGATTGTGAAATTAGACGGCTTCTTCTGCGACATAAAATAATCATTCTTGCGTGTCCACTTCTTGCAAATCAAGAGTGTTAAGGCTTTTAGGTGAAGGTTACGAAAATACAAATTGTAGAGGTTTTATTTCATTGAATTTTAACTAAAAACCGTATACACATTAACGTAACGAATAAAATATTTTTTTTCATTCCATATAGACGCGAAAGGTGTTAAATTACCAACGAAAAGGTCACTATGGAAATGTAAATGTGGGCTACTTTAGATTACTAGAATGTTTGAGGAAGTCATTTAGTGAATTGCATATGTTGTTAAACCATAAAGAGATTTAATATACAGTATATGTTGAGTATTGTTATTGGAATATTGTCTAAAACCTTTACAATCACTACATAGTATAAAACAAAGTCGCTTTCCCGCTGTCTGTCCCTATGTATGCTTAAATCTTTAAAACTACGCAACGGATTTTGAAGCGTTTTTTTTTAAAAGATAGAGTGATTCAAGAGGAAGGTTTATATGTATAATACATGCATAATATAGTAGGGAAACACTGATAATTTTAGAGGTTTGTAATGTGATGTCGTAAATAAACAAGTTTTTTGCGCTTCCATTGCAAACGCTAGCTGAAACCTACGAGATAGATCAAAATAATGTACTACAATATTGTACATCTTAAGAGGGTCTACAAAAAAGTCCGCGATGGTATATGTCTATCTGTTAGGGATAACCCACAATAACCATTTTTATCCTTTACTTTTTATGAGAAATAATTACTTATTTACGAAGCGATTGTAGGCAATACAGTATTAATTCTTATCCAATTAAGTACTTTTAAATACATTGTGCATTTAATACAGATCAATATGGCCCTTTACAGCATGTTACAGACTTAAAATGCAGGGACATAGCGGTTGCGGCGGTACCGGCCGGGAGGCCGGTTTGTATTGTCTAATGACAAAAAACTGTGAATGTTGTATATAAAGTCATTCTGTAGTATATTTAGTATGTTCAGGGGGTATCTTTTGAAGATTTCCCCTTCTCGATAATAATCTAAACAAAACAAAAATATACATATTTAGTATCAGCATTGCACCCGTGCGAAGCTGGGGCGGGTCGCTAGTTA